ATCAGAATGATAAAATTTGTAACTCCCCTAGTGGTCCATTTACAATGTTTAACTGTATAGTTCATCTAAATTTAACCAAAAACATACACGGAGAAGAAAACTTCGTGCGTGGGACCCAAAGTTTAGGTCATATGGATCTCTGAAGTTTCCGGATTGAGCATCTGAACACTTTAGGTCCAGCTGCTGAGGTTTGGATCACACATCTGAAACTTTGGTTCTCACATCTGAAGTACTTCAGCTGGAAGAACTGAAGTTTCAGATGTGTGATCCGAACCTCGACAGCTAGACCTAAAGTGTTCAGATGCTCAATCCGAAAACTTCAGAGATCCACATGACCTAAACTTCGGGTCCCACGCACGAGGTTTTGTCTCCGTGTACATACATTCAAGTTGCTTTTACAGCGCACTTGGGCGCTCTGCGACACCTAATCGCCATTCTTGTCTATTGATCCAGAAGTCCTCCAGTAAATGGCATTCAACAAAAGCATTCCGACCTCGTTCCGGCAACGGTGTGATTGTAAGCCATAAATCACGATCGGTTTATTGGGATAGGAGCCAGCGTGCGCCTCGCCGTGGCGTTTAGCCCGGCCTGCAGCCCTGGCCTGCTCGCCGTGCCGGCCGTTGTGTCTGTCGGTCCGTGAAAAGCCCGCTTTCCCGCGCGGAGCTCAACGATTTCCCGGGCGACGCGACCTCGCCGGCAACGAGGCTGTGCGTGAGTTACCGCTCCTACGATTCCTCGTGAGTCCGGGAAAAATTCATGGCCTTTATTTCCGGACCGTGCGGGCCGAGTCGTGAACTTGTGATGCTACGACGCGTGACGAGCTGCCTCAGGGAGAACGTCGTATGAACCTCCAGACGTTGCCATATTTCTATCGTCGAAATACAAATTTTCAGGGAGGTCTGTGAATATTTTTCCTCAATTATTACATAGAAGATATTAGGATTCAGATGAAAATTATCTGAGAATTTCAAGAAATAATATTCATAATTCCCATCAAAATGCTTAGTTTTACTGGAAGGAATTTGGCAAGACTCGAATGTTCGTACGGCGTTTTTCCTTAGCACGGCAGCATTGTTGGTGGGTCGTGCGTTGGGTCGGGAGAAGGTCCCACCGATCCCTGCTCCCCGCAAATAGCGTGGTTGTAACGCTTTGAGTATTCGGTGTTGCACGTTAAGCCGTCAGGCGAGTTCTAATATGAAAATTTTAATCAAAACTGCAAATTTTTATGTTTATCCCGTCACTTCATAAATTTTAAGGGTACATCTTAAGGAAAATTTTATGGGAAAACCAATGGCACCACTATATAACTTTTACTTTCCACATCTACAAAGATATGAGCTTTTAGTGTTTCGACAACATGCCCGACCAGAATGAAAAGACACAGAGCGGAGCGGCGTATTAGCAGCGCGGAATGCGCACGGGCGCCTACAAACCTAACGGGATACTTCACGCATTGCGCAATGCGTGAAGTATCCAGTTAGGTTCGTAGGCGCCAGTGCGCATTCCGTGTTGCTAATATGCCGCCGCTTCGCTCTGTGTTACGCTTTAATATTTAAACTCGCGGAGTCAGCGTTTTCCAACTCATGATTTTGAAATGTTTGCACACTCTGCGTGGAGTATTCTCATATAAATTGATGGGGGAAAAATGTATTAAAGGAAAATATAACGTGTGTTTTGTAAGTAAAAGACGGTTCCGTGTCAAATTTAATGATTTCCATTTTAATTTGTCCATTTATATTTTGTGCTTTTACTGTGCTGCAGCGAGGTGCACGCGTAACCAAACGCTCTAAAGTCGACGTATTTGACCCTAAAATATCGATGTACAAATGGCTTAAAACCAAAGATTGCGTGCTTCGTGGCTTTTATTTCTCTTTTATCAATTTTTGTATAGTTCTTTTCAACACAACAACGGCTCATTAGAATTAATATCGATGCCATTGCTAAAAAAAGGTTTTACAAATATTTGCCACGTTTTAAAAATGTAAATGTTTTTAAAATGAAGTAACATTTTCATTTTTAAAAAAAGTATCGAAAATTTTAAGGATAGATATAAAACCAAATAACACCAATGACAATTTGAAAAGATGAATAAAAGGAAGAAAGTGACATTTCATCTAAAAATTGAGTCACCATAACGAGCACCTCCTTCTCTCTCAATTCTCTCATTTCGATATTGCCAATATAATTTTACATGCGCACTTAAAATATAACGCTTCAACCAAGTCACTTTTGCTTATTTCACGCCTGAACGTAAAGCACTATACAAAACAGGTGCGCGAACAAAAAATTGTTGATGGAATGTCCTGAAACGTATTGAATGTCTCAGAGTCATCAATGATGAAGTATCTAAAGGAAGCCGGCCTTTTCTTACGAAAAGTGTAAGGTTAGGTGTTATGCAAAGCTCATACATACATCATCTCAAGCTTGCCTTTATGTAGCTATTTTCGCTTTTGGGGTGATTCTCAAATATGTCAACTCTTTACTTTTGCGCTTTTTAGCTATGAATTTCTCATACTCACGGTCAGCACTTTTGCGCTTTTGGAGACCGTACGAACACGTAAGTGACTAAGAAGTTTAATCATCATTTTGGGTGGTACATGCGAGTGCCCCCGATTCTCCTGCCCAAATCATTTCGTTCCGATATTTTATACGTCCATAACTGACATACATTAGCAGTACTATATACCAGTGTACATATGTATTTCCTCAAAACTCCTGTTGTAGATATAAATGGTTTCAATTGGCGGAACCAGCAAATTGGCAACATTGTATTTTCTCCATTTGAACCATGGAAACCATGGAAACCATGGAACCATGGAACCATGGGACCATGGAAATGTATCGATCCTTGGAGGGGTCAGTTGCTTTTACTAGAATCGATTATTTAGCATAGGTTTAAATCCAGGAAATCCGGTGTTGCCCAAATTGCTGGATTCGCCTCTGATGGTTTCCTTAGCGCTTTCTAATTGTGCCTTCCTCCACCATGCACATTAATTAAACCGAGTTCAACATAAATGCATCCAGTCGCATCAAATTTGAATCTATAATAAGTTTTCAAGTTTTCATCCTCCGTAAGACTCAATGTCAAAGACATAATTTAACGCCTGTTTTCACGTCGCAAATATTTGGTTCAAACTTTGAATCTTTGAATACATTGTGCGACTGGTTTCATTCAAAACTACTCCGGACTCATTTTTTTCAAAGATGCGATTCGGTGCGTTTCTGTTGAACTCGGTAAAATTCTTGACCCTTTCTGTCATGATAGTGAAGAGAGCCGTAATTGAAAAAATGAAGTTCTGAAAAAAATTGGATCAGTTGCGGAAAATTGTATCAAAAGGAGCCTCCGTTGTTCGTCAAATTACGCATCGATCATCCGAACTACTGCCGGAAATAGTTCGCATGATTCAAAATGAACAATTTTTTTTTCAAATTTATGAAGGGGGTAATTTCATTTTCATGTTAGGGTAGTGTCTGTCGAGACAACTGTAAATGCTGTCTTCTGCATCCTTTTGTCGTCGTTACGTTTTGGACAAACAAAAAACAAATTCTAAGGCTAGATATTTGCACAGGGGGGCGAAAACCTTAAAAATGCTGCTTTCGTCAGCTCTATGGCGGTATAATGTTCCTTACGGATGTTTAGCCTGAAAACCCGTCAATTTTTGTGCATTTAGGCTTTCTATTATTCTCGTTCCCATACAAAAGACGAATTTTGCTGCTTTAACTGAATTGATGATTTCATCTGAATTAGCTATTAGACGAATTTCGAAGGAAACTAGATTTCGAAAATTTTAGCGCTACGGCTCTCTTCGCTATCACAGCAGCGCTGCTTGCTTACCCATTTCATCCTCACCCTTCCCTCCACCCCATTATCCGTGCTCCCTTGCACGACATTTCATACAGTGGCGAGGCGTGAATGATCGATTATCGATATTTCCACATTTGAAGCTATGGTAAAGAATCAATGAAGATGCTGCATGTGTGAGTAATTTGCGATTTGACTGTTGCTTCTTATGTAAAAGTTCGCGAGAAACACGATGGTGCCACTGATTTTCTCTGAAATCAACTCCCAAACTCAAAAAAGGCTCTCAAAGTGAGGCCAAAATAAAGGGGATATCCCACGCTATCCTGAGAGTCCACCTCTACATCAAGACAAACTCTCCATGCAAAGATAGGGAGCAAATACATTAGCAGGGTTGCCGAGTTTTCAGTCTTAGAGTCCCCCAAAAAAGTGGCAGCCCTGTCAATGTATTTGCTCCCTGTCTTTGCATTTAGAGTTTGTCTTGATGTAAAGGTGGACTTTCAGGACAGCGTGGGATATCCCCTCCATTTTGGCATCAACTTGAGAGCTCTTTATGAGCTTGGGTGTTGATTTCAGAGAAAACCAGTGGAACCATCGTGTTTCTCGCGAACTTTTACATAAGAATCATAAGTCAAATCGCAAATTCCTCACACATGCAACATCTCCATTATTAAGGTGTTCGTTACGAACACCCTGTTTATCGCTACTTTTCCATAAGTTTAAGTGGCAGATCAATCGGACGCATTTCTGTCAAACGGAACTATGTGCATCATGACATGAACCTTGTTATGCATATATTCTTATGGGTCGCAGGGCTCATGTATTAATGCACATAGTTCCGTTTGATAGAATTACGTCCAATCGATACATCGTCACCTTCCAGGCAAAGTATCACAAGCGTCATGCGACGTTTAAAAATTTCCGCCGCCATTTTATTTTTTTTACAGAGAAATTGTTCAACGAAGCTGTCCGAAAATTTCACTGAATTTTCTTTGTGCTGCCGATAAAATTTAGTGAAATTTCCAATCAGATTCAACCAACAATTTCTCAGGAAAGAAATAAAATGGCGGCGGAAATTTTTAAACGTCGCATGGCGCTTGTGATACTTTGCCTGGAAGGTGACGACATCGCAAAACACGCCACGGCACTGATTTGATTCGCCTGGAGAATGACCCTGCGGACGGTGCGACTATGTTGACAGGTACGATGTGCGTGAGGTGCGCGCCGCTGCGCCTCGGCTCGACGGAGACTTGCGCGACGACGCTGAACGACTCGCCGAGCTGCAGCGGGAGCCGGAAGGCCTCCAAGGGCGCCCACCACGGCCACGGGAGCGGCCACTCGCGGCGGTGCCGCCAGAACGGCCACGGGCACCACGTCTCCTGACACGGGGACCGGGAGCGGGAGTCGAACCCGGACCACGGCGACAAGGACCGGGACCGGGATTCCAAACCCGCCCAATCCCAAACCTGGATCTGAGGAGCCTCCCCCACCAGCATCCCCACCACCCACCCTCTCATCACGCATCACGCCACGCCCATCTTGCCCTTAGATCCTAGGTATGTTCCTACGCTCAACTCCGTTCGCTGTTCTCTTCCATTCACCTTTATTGCTGTCTCTTAGTTAAGTTATAGTTTCTAAACCCGGAAAAACCTTGGTTCATCAGGGAATGAAAATTTTCAGGAAAAATCCGAGGAATCTGTCCCAGAGACATGGAATCTTTTCCTCTACCGCTTGGTGAAAGACACTTTTTCTTTCACGAAAATGTATGGAAATTTCAAGTACTTTTGTTATTAAGGCACGCTCAACTCCGTTCTCTCTTCTCTTCTCCTCATATTTATTGCTGTCTGTTAGTTAAGCTATAGTGTCTATAACCGGAAAAACCTAGTTTCATCAGGGAATGAAAAATTTCAGGAACAATCCGAAGAATATATTCCAGAGACAGGGCATCTTTGCCTCTATCGCTTGTCGAGAGACATTTTTTTTTACAAATATTTACGGAAATTTTTAGTACTCGTTGTTATTTAGGTACGCTTACCTCCGTTCAATCTTCTCTTCTCCTCACCTTTATTGCTGTCTGTTAGCTAAGCTGTAGTTTTTAAAACCGGAAAAACCTAGTTTCATCAGGAAATGCAAAAATTTAGGGAAAATCAGAGAAATCTGTTCCAAAACAGGGAATCTCCTCCTCTATCGCTTGACGAGGGACCATTTTTTTTTTTTTTTTTTTTTTTTTTTACAAAAATTGATGGAAATTTTAGGTATATGTTTTTATTAAGGTTTAGGTTATTGCACCCGAGCCGCCATTATTAACCCTCTGAATGAATTATTTGAATCTTCAAAACATCATCATGATAGAGACATGTTCATCTATCAGATAATATAAATATGAGGAATACTTTTGTAATCGAAAATTTGAATGTGCGCCGAAAAAATCGGCTGAAAGATTAAACAATTGGATAGTTTATTCTCACCAGGGTATGAGCTCCTGAAAATCAGGGGAAAAGAAGGGAATGAGCATGATTAAAAATTCTAGACACCATGGTATATGCTTATAGAATAGCAATGAATAATAAGATCCGGCTGAACGCTTTGTTTATCCACCAACGAAGGATGCCATCCTTCGCGTTGGTGCATACCCTCGTTTCATGCACCTTAGATTCATCAATAGGATTACATTTTGCAATTAGGCACTATACAATATCTGTCTGAGTTTAAAAACGGCATATGTACTATGAGCTTCAGTATGTACTTTAGTGCTTTTTACGGATGGGCTAGACACTGTAGTTTCTAATTGCAAAACGTAGTCCAATTGATAGGAAAAACTCTTTCACTGGTTGCGCCGCTCAGAACACGAACGAAACCGAGGTAAAAGAGACCATGTTATCAGTGGCGTGGTGTGAATGATCGATTATCGATATGTCCCCATTTGAATCCGTGGTAAAGAATCGATTATTAGGGTGTTCACTGCGAACACCCTGTTAATTGATCCTTTTCCATAGATTTAAGTGGCAGATCAATCGATATATCGCAAAGCACGCCACGCCACTACATATTATGCTCCACGCGATGAATGACGTCACAAGCCGTATTCTTTAAAGGGTGATATCCATATTAATATTAGACGTTAGTACTCTGCGTTTAGACGGATCTTATTGTGTTTTATTGATTTATAATACGAAATCATCGAAACACGATTTCGCGACGAACACAACGAAAGTAGTATCGGAGTAGTGTCTCGGAAGTAGTTGTTTCTACTCGTTGCCACGATTGCAGCGGGCTGATTTTTGAAATTTATAAGGAAATAAGCGAAAACAAAGCGAGAACGAATCTATTTTACAGGTGGAAACAGGTGGTTGCAAATGGACAAAGGAGGTAAGTAATAGTCTATAACTAAGGGCAATCCACGAGGGACCCTTTAGTTCATCCATCCTTTTCACCCTTGCTCTGTAAGAACCACCCGTTTCAACCAAAAGGATCGCTCCATTTCAGTGGCGTGGCGTGCTTTGCGATATATCGATTAATCGGTCATTTAAACCTATAAAAAAGTATCGATAAACTGGGTGTTTGCAGCGAACGCCTTAATAATCGATTATTTACCACAGATTCAAATGGGGAAATATCGATGGATCGCAAAGCACGCCACGCCACTGCTCCATTTCCCCTTCATCTTTATTATCCATGGCTTTGTTTACCTATCAGTTTAGAAAACTAGCCCACAAATGAGGTTGGGCCACAAATGTAGAAAATACTGGTGTAGCTCCCTCATTATATCTCACTTGAAAATTTCGAGTTTTAAAAATTAGGAATATCTCTGACCTGAAAATGGCATGCCTACTTCAACACGCACTTGTACAAAGTGCAACGGAATTCAAACAAATGGCTACATGGAAGGTAATGTTGAAGTTAGAAAGGGTTCAGAGCAAGTTCATGCTCAGCTATAAATATTAATGCTCAGGGAGTCATAGAAATCTTGAACGAATTTCGTCAGACTTCTTTTCTTTTCCTTTTTGTAAATCCAATTTGACTTATCTCAAAGTTGGCCCTCGGTCCGGAGTGAAGTAGTAGAACAAACGCGAAAAATGAATTTATTAATTAAAAATTTGATTAAGTCGATGAGGCAAGGAGGAAAACCCTCGCTCCAAAAGAAGAACTTCACGAGGCGAGTTTTCCGGTGGGGGATATTTCGCAATCGTCGTTTAACCGAATCTTTTTCACTTGCCATTTAAGAGGCTTCTTGGTTTTAAGAAGACCGAAGTTCAATTTCGGACGTGGCTTTCGTTAATCAAGGCATGCTTCGTCTTGAATGCTCAAAAACAGCTTTTTTGAAGAAGGGCCTGACCGTCAAAAGTCAACTTTCGAGGGAAAATGAAAAAAACTTGATTTCATTGACTATTTTTCATGTTTCTTCTAAAAAAAAAATCAACGCACGTATGTATAGCATCTGTTAAAAAAATCCCGGCCCTGAGAGACGTTTCAACGACATCCGCCTTAATTTGCAATGCTCAACTCTATGCTGCTAGTGAGCTGTCGCTTGGATTCAGAGTCCAACACAAAACGGGTCGGATTACGTATTTCCTATCTTCGGCTGTGTTGCTCACGTATCTCTTGCAGCATAACTATAGAAAAAGACAAACGAAACCAGCACAACATGGATTTAGAGAAAGGGAGAGAACGCGTTGATGAAGGCGCAGAGATACAACTATTCGTACTTGATGAATGTCCGTAATGCATCCGCAAAATTGAAGGCGCGCGCATACGCGAGGCGTGAACTCGCAAAGCGCCGCTCTATGCTGCAGCCGGTGAGGTGTTACACAGATTCAGGAGAAAAGTTAAGACAAATACTTTTCGCTCATCTCCGGCTGTGAGGGTTTTTTTTTTTTTTTTTTTTTTTTTTTTTTTTTTTTTTTGTATGTTGCACTAGGTGGTTTTAAAATTTCAACACTCAATTATGTTCTCCTTTTTTGTCAATTTGATGTCTGATTATGTTTCCCTTTTTTTCAATTTGATGTCTGGTTATGTTTTTACGATGCACATTTGGACCCATATCTAAAACTCGTATATTGACGGTGTAAGTCGGCAATCACATAACTCGTTTGCGGTATCTGAAAATCTCCGCCTCTGTGTCATTTTTTAAAGGAGAACAAATTGACATTGTTTCTTGAAATTTTTGCAGAATTTTCTTCGTATAGAGAGGAAAAATCACGACAGTTTTAAAGAATTGCCGTTGAGTAGTTTTCCGTTTAAAAAAGAAGTATGACAGGAAGTCTGCGACGTCGCAAACCGAGTTATGTGATTGCCGACTTACACCGTCGATATGTATCGACCCCACACAGCCCGCAAACCTCGGGTCAGTTTGACCCGGCTTGGGCATCTAAGGGTTAAAAACCAATTTTGAGTAAAACAATCAAAAGAATCCCTTTTCGGCATACATCGTTTTTGCGCGATAATATTGTGTGCAACAAGTGTGCAGGTGATATCAGCAACAATTCGGCAGCAACCCTCCCATCTCGTTTAAAGTCGCGTAACCATTTTTAGACCCTGCGCAGCCTGCAAGAGGCGAATTGACCGTGCTGTCCGCTCGAAGGCACTCCTGATTTTAAATTTTGAGAAACGCGGCGTTTTTTACATAGAACGACAGTCCCCGCGAGGAGAGGCTCACCCGAAAAGAACAAAGAAAAGCGGATAAAACAATTTGAAGGGCTGCGGAATCAAAGGGAAGGATACTCAGACCGACTTTTCAAAAATAATTTTTATTATACTTCAGTGACGTGGAATAAGATCCATTGAGTGACTCGGTGAAGAAACTCTCGAGTTTGTGATTGAGCACACTTGAGAAGTCAATTCCAGGAACATCCTCCGTAACTCGTCGCTCCTGTCACGAAAAACGTATTGCCATTTCCTCTTGAGCCCCGGAAAGCATGACACTCAATGGACAAGAGGGCTCAAGCAGAAATTGAGATACGCCCTTACGATAGAGGAGCGATAAACTTCCGGCTAAGTCAATTTCTCCCCGCCCCCTCTCGCTTGACTCCCGCTTATATGGGCTAAACTGTACTTAATAGAGGACCGGAAGACCTCGGATAATCAGGAAAACAACTTATCGGCGAGCTCCAATATCTCACAGTCATCGTCTCTTCGGCTGAAATTAATTTAACTTTCTCGAAGAGCTCGCTCGGCTTGCAGAAAGGTTAGCTTTACCGGATGGGCATGGTTATCCAGCAAGCAATGTAGTAGGTGTTCCCAGCCACAAGTTGGTGATGAGAGGATATCAGCAACTGAAAGGGCGAGAACCAGAGGGGCTTAATTGCATCGGGACATTCCCAGTTTCAACTCTCCAAACAACTTTTCCTTGCCGACCGGGTTGGCCTAGTGGTCAGTGCATCTGACTTCGGGTTAATAGGTCCCGAGCTCAAATCCTAGTAGTGGCCAGAAATTCTCACATGACTGCACTGATAAAAATATTTGTAAACTCATTTTCTGTTTAAATTAAACCTTTTTTTTGAAAACCGATTACATAGTTAGATGACTTACTTTCTTATTATTCTTTACGCACAATGGC